TACCACTTACAGCTGGTCAATGAATAAATAATATAAATAGACAAGGGAATAAATATATATATATATGTGCGCATACTCGTATAAATCAGCTCAAGTTTCGTGCAAGCTGAGAACGGAAATTTCGAAAATATGACCACTCACACGGGGTTACATTGCTAAAATTAATTATTTCCAGAGCTGTGGATTGTCCCCAGGCCTAAATTAATTGTTTCTTTTTATTTCAAAGATTCTTAGAAACGGAAGACCGGTTAGACTGAGTGACGGTGACTGACCTCATAAGCCTGAGGTCTTCGGGTCCTTCAGCGTTTCTTGCTGTGTGTGCATTAAAAAAATTACTGAGCAGAGACAAACAATTTACGCGAGTGAATTCAAACATAGAGAATAGATCATCTACTGTTACGGTGATTGCAGCTTCGTGAAAAATTGGCTAAGCAGCACACTGCATCCATGAGCCTGGATTCGCCCGCTATCGGCCATCCTTTTTAGATATTGCTCAGCATGGAGGATCTTGACCATTTCACAAACTGCCAGACGGATCATTAATTTACGGTAAGCAGTCCCGTTTCTCGCCGTAAAAGACCACTTCGGCATTGAGTACACCTACATCCATAACTTGCTGCGCTTCGCCTTCGTTACTGATATATTTTACCGGGATGCCCAAATGCCATATCCGATCGCAAGGCTAAATGAAAAACATAGTTAATTCTGTGCGAAATTTAAAACTCCAGAAACATCTGAATTAAACTGTTTAAAAAAACGCTTTTGAAAAGCAGGAAAAGCAGCTGATACGTATGTTCCATTTGTATTTCCTTTCCTTATAAATCATATTTGGTAGTGCTGGACTATCCGGTTCTTTTGCTGTGCAGCATAAAGGTGAGCTCAGAATCCAAATTGCTCAAACGAACAACCGCCGGCATCGTACACTTAGCGAACAAAACTATTTCTCAAAATTTTCGGAAATTCCAGCGTTAATCAAGTGGAACGAAGCGCTCGGGATTTCAGCTATCCACTCGTTCTTCGATAAATGCCCATCAGCGTCTTTTTGCCACTTATTGCTCTTTTTTTCATGTTGATTATGCACACGCTGCACACGTGAATTAATCACTCTCGATGCAAAATTGCTTCTTCCTTTTTGTCTCTCTGCCGTAATGCTGTGCCACAGCTCTGGATTTCATTACTATTTGCCTTGCGTATTTGTACTGTATAAAATACATTTGCTTCTTTCTTTACTACTAGGCACTACTTCCCTCGCATTGCATTTCTGGACAGCAACTAACAAAAGCACTGCAATTGTTTTAAATATCATGGCTACCAAGACTTCTAGAAAGTCGGCGAGGAAGAGGGAGGTCGTCATTGTTACTTGGAGTTACTTGGATGTTCCCACATCCCTGGCGCAGCTTTACTAGACCCCTTGACCCTCAGATGCCTATTAAGTGCATACGATGTCGCTCGAATGGTCAATTACTTTTCCGCGGGCACTATTTACTGATGCCTGGTTGTTAGCAAAGCGAGCAACCTTTTCTGAGTAACGCATTTTATTACTTTCTCGCGTAGCCGCAGTGAAACCTGAATGCTGCTTATCTGTCGGTGAGTCTGATTGCTTTTACGGCTACAAACAACCACTCCGGACATCCTTCCACCCATCGCTCTCTCCGTCAGAACCTCTTCCCAGAAACTGTGGCGCATATTAGGTTTCCAGTCAAGATAGATGTACTTAACATACACATAAAAATTAAAAAAAAAAGAAAAAACATTACGATGCCGCCATCGTTGCATTTGTGTCGAACGATTAGCACTGGATCAATGGCGCTCCATTCGCTTTCGTTACCGCTCACGTAAAAATATCCCCGCTGATCGGTTACATTCACACCCATCACATCGTCCGGATCAAGCCCTTTACACTGTTGCCAATACTTGCATTACATCAGAATGAATTATGGAGTGAGCCAGGAAATAGACATGACAGTGCATTGTTGCAATCAGTTTTATAGGAATATGCTTGCAAAATGCAAACGTACAGGGAGAAAAGTGATAAGATTACATTTGGCTGCCATCGTGAACTGAAATAGTTTTCAATCCCCGGTGGGCTGTTATCCAGAGATTGTAAACTATCGCAGTTTTCAAGTTTTTTGTTTACTGCAGCCCAGCACTAAAACACCAAACTAAATTTGCAACTGAATTTGAAAACCAGAACTGAGTTGAGTTTAAAGATAATCTGTCTAATTAAAACGGCAATACTTCAAGTTCGCCCGATTCTTGTTGCAAATGAAAACAAAAAATCTTTAGCTCACTTTTTTTTGGCAATGCTGAATTATTATGAATGGTCAAAAATATATCGCGGAAGTTTCTGTATAGTCTTGAAGAATGGAAAATATTTGAAAAATTATCCACTTTCACTACAGTGCGTCTCAAGGTTGTTATTTATTAAGATCCTTCTCGAGACTGTCAAATGCTTTTAAGCTTCTAAGCATATTTCGGGGATATTTAGGGATAAAATTAGATCAGCGAAATGCACACCGTCTTTGTCGATGAGCGTCACTTGGTGATCTGGTAGCGGTCGGCCTTCGCACAACAGCACCCCTTGCACGGCAACACTTTGCAGTCGCGACAACATGAAAAATGCACTGGCTAGACCGGGCGCTATACAGCACAGCACGAGCAATATCCATTTCAGCATCATTTCTCATCCTGCAGTAGACTAATTAGCAGCGCAAACAATCACAAATAATAGTTTTTGAGGCTTTTTCTGCAAAATTTTGTCAAAAATTTCCAAATATTTTCTAGATTTCACGAGACGCTAATTGGCGTAACAGCATCCAGCAGCATATGCTCACGCTAGTTTAATTACAAACATTCTCCGGCATAAATCGCACAACAGAATTTCCGACCCCCCCCCCCCCCCCCCCCCCCCCCCCCCCCCCCCCCCCCC